TTTTTTTATTTTAATTCTACTGATTCTTAGAATCAAAATAAAAAAAATTTTACCGAATTTTATTAGGTGGTTGCAGAGATATCTTCGTTCAAAGTTTGAAAAAAAATTCAAAATCAGATGATCTTCACTGACCAATCACCGTCAGTATCACGAGATTCTGCTCCGCTTTAGACGACCCCCATAAAAGGTGTGATCGACATAACCCATATTTGGTAATATCCTCGACTGCACTATCGCTATGAAAACGTTACATCCAGAAATAGAATAGATTGTTTATAAAAAGTCAATTTCCAGAATTCCAAAATTAAATTCGGGTTTTCAAACACCTTGGCGCATTGCATCGGGAAACATTTTACCCCATGTTGTCTAGTGAATCTTTTCATTTACGTCACCTTCCGTATTCTGAAACAAATAAATACTTCAGGATGTTAGTTCTTATTCAAACACTCTTTAAGCTCAATACTTAAAATATTTAAAATAATCTATGGACTTATTATATACACATGATCATCAAAGAAGAACTCCGCAGACCCTCTTAGTTACTACTAGTCTACTACTTTTAACTTCATTATCTCGAGCTCAGACAAATTCAACCAATTATGCGTTACCACCCGCAAATATTACCGGAATACCGCAGGAACCAAGTAATAATACATATCCCAACCCAGAGTATGCGAGGCTAGTAGCTTACTCTTTATATTTTTACGAAGCACAAAGAAGCGGAAAATTACCTACAGACAACAGGGTACCATGGTAAGTTTTCTTTTCAACATCGCCTTCGATCAAATTATTAAAAAGTATTCATGTATATAATTTTCCAGGAGACATGATTCAGCGTTAAACGATGGTCAAGACGTTGGTCTTGATTTATCAGGAGTATGTGTCTTAAACTTTTTATATTATTGATTTCTTATTTCTATTGCCTTCCATTAAGTGTTCATATTTATTGAGTTCACTTAATTGAAATAGTTGTCCTAATTACTAATTTTTTTTTGCACTTATTCATGCGACTATGTAAGGGCTATTATGATGCAGGTAAACCCGTTAATAATTTTGTAGATATATGCTATATTATATTTATATTACATTCAGTGTTGGCTTGACCAGACCAGTTTGACCATTGGACCTGACCAATTTGACCAATTTGACCGGTCTGGTCAAAGGATCTGTACTGGTCAAATTGGTCAAATAGTATATTTAAATATAATTTATTATATAATATAATTTATTATATAATATATATATTATATTTATATAATCGATTTGACCAATTTGACCCATTTGACCAATTTGACCAGTAAATTTTTGGTCGACCACTAATTTGCCCAACACTGATTACATTATAATAAATATATTATATTTATTAGGTGATTATTTGAAATTTACCTTTCCATTTTCATGGACTATTACAACTATGGCTTGGGGTGCTTTAGAGTGGGGTGATGGTTATCAATTAGCAAATCAGACCCAATATTTGAGAGATACGATAAAATGGGGAACTGATTGGTTAATAAAAGCCAGCTCGAATACGAACAATACAAATAATCAATATCTATACGTGATGATCGGTAGCCTTGATATTGATCATAACTATTGGGGACCTGATACAAAGTATATATTCGATTACCGCAAATTATCATCATCAATGCTATTCAGTAATAAATTATTTATCCTATATCTAGTATTCCTACTCCACGTCCATCGTCAAAAGTGAATTCCTCTGCTCATGGTACTGATGTTTCGGGCGAGGCGGTAGCAGCCATGGCTGCATCATCTTTATTATTTTTTACTCAATTTAATGATTCTACATATGCCAATACGCTTTTAACATATGCGAAAAATCTATACTCATTCGCTGAAACGACACCTTTCACGTTATATCAGAATTCAGCACCACAAGTTAAAGACGCATATAGTTCTTCAAATTATACAGATGAATTGGTTTGGGGTGCCCTTTGGTTGTATCGTGCGACAAATGACACGAGCTATCTTAATAAGGCCACTAGTTATTTAAACATTAAATCATTTATACATAAGCAAGTATTTAACTGGGATGAAAAATCTGGTGCATGTTTAGTATTGCTTTCTCAATTACTTCAACAATCTGGACAGGATTCAGGCACATGGAAGTCCGAGGCGGAACGATACTTGGATAATATTATAAAGCCATCTAATGGTTGCTCATTTACTGGTGGTGGTCTTTTTTGGTGCGATGGAGATAGTAATGAAGCATCATTGAGCGTGTCTCTTGGTAATGCTTTCCTGTGTCTAGTTTACGCACCAATCGCTACTTCATCTGCTAAGACTCAAGCATATATAAATTTCGCACTGTCACAAATTGATTACGCACTTGGTAAAAATCCTATGAACACACCATATGTCATTGGTGTTCATCCAAACTCGCCACAGAATCCTCATCATGCTGGTGCGAGTGGAGGAACTGATATATCTAATTTGGATAATCCGCCTCAAACACTACATGTTTTATATGGTGCAATTGTAGGTGGTCCAAATAAGGATGACGATTTTAGCGATTCAAGAACTGATTATGCCGAAACTGAGGTTATAATTTAATTTATTATTTTAATATTATTCTTAAATTGATTAATAACCTTTTTTTTTTACTTATTTTATTTATTTATTTAAGGTTGCTCTGGATTATAATGTAGCATTTCAAAATTTAATGGCGTACCAAATGATCAATTCCAATAGTGATCCATATTATGTCAATGTTCCTCCCGGCAGACCGACAAAAAAGATCAATACTGCCGTTATTATTATCATTGTTATCTTATGTTTGTTATTGACTATTATCGCTGCACTTTTATTCTGGAAGCGTAAAAAAATTATAGCGTGGTGGAAAAGGCGAAGGCAAACGAAATGTAATGAACAATACTCCTCATAGTAGATACTATAAGGGATTTTAATTGTATCATCGACTTTTTCATCTCAAAAAGACAATTATATTAAAAATCTTTTGTAACATTAGAATAATTATTTAAATTTCTGCATCACAACATCTTAGTTATCACAAAATTGCTTATTTAAAAGAAAAAATTTAAAATATCAACGACCAAAATTCGCCTGTCTCATAATAAAATTTCACATATGTAATTAAAACGAGATCCTGAAAGGTTAGCTAGCATTAATTATAATCCTAGCAGTTTTTTTCGTTTTTTATTTATTTATTTTAATTTTCATTGTTATTGAAATCTTTAAAGAAAATTGCTAAATAATATGTGAGCCTTTGCTTGCGCCAGCGGGTTTTAATTTTTAAAAGTTTCGTGGAAATATCCAGAAAACACGAATATGCAATAATCGCGTAATCTAAGATATAGATTAAACCTTTCCATAAAGGATATTGCCCTATCAAGGTTAATACAACCTGAAATTTTTTCATTGAAAAAATATTATAATACGTACTTCGTACGTACCGCCAAATTTAATTATAGTCAACTCTAATCGAATTTAGTTAATGCATAAATTCCTTCTCCTTTAGTGCACCATAAAAGGCTGGCCAACAAAAAGCTGCAGTATCACGTATGGCGTACGTAACTATCACAATTTCAGCGCCTTCCCTTTCTAGTGTTTCAGGCGGAGTTCTTTCCCTGCTATTTTATTTAAAGTTACAGTAACGGCAAAACCATTGAGCCGTAAAAATAAGTTACCAATCACAACTACCCATATCGCTTTACTATCATGTGCCGTAGGTCCTATCGATGACCAATCAAATTCGCTTTAGCAGCGAATAATTTAAATATGATCGAATTAATAGAATACAGAAGGCTCTTTTTTTTTTTTTTAACAAGTTTGTTAGATCGCACCACTGGTAGTGCTCCTAGGTCCGGTTCAGGTCCGTAGTGATGCAAATTACCGGCTCCACTCGGCTAACAGCTGGCTATAACAGAGCTGAGTCATATTTTAGTTAAGCCATTTTTTAGAAGAGCCGACGGCTCTAAATTGTATCGTTATATCGTTATAGGAAATTTATTTTCAATTAAATTCAGCGTTAATACATATACAGATGTTTCAGTAATTAATAATTTGCAAATGTACAAAGCAGCGATAGTATAGAAACATAAAAAAAAAACTATTATTATATCGTTATAGAAAATTTATTTTCAATTGAATTCAGCATTAATACATACACAGATATTTCAGTAATTAATAATTTGAAATGTGCAAGCAGCGATAGTATAGAAACATATATAAAAAAAAATTATTGTTATATCGTTATATTATTATCAGAAGTTTCTTGCAAAGTGTCTTGTGAATTTTGGGAATTAATATAAGAAAGGTCGTTAGGATTCATTTGGGCGATTATTGTAAGTATCAAATATATATATATATATATAACAAATAGTCTACAAAATATTACGACATATTGTTATAGTTTATTATAAATACGAAAGCTTATTATCAATATGAAAGTTTATTATCAATACAAAAGTTTATTATATTAGTTATGTCAACATATTAGAGTCATATAATTGGCTCACGGCTCTAAACCAGCTCGGCTCAGCTTGTATTATGTGGAGCCGTTAATAATTAAGCTAAGCCGATTGGCTTATGGTTCTGCAGAGCCGTTTTGCATCATTACAGGTCTGGTCCGGCTTCAAACAAGACTCAAACTTTACCAAGCATTTCTGTCTCAATTCTTAACACAGTAGAATTGGATATAAAAAATAAAAAATATAGAATTAAAATTTCAAAATAAAATTTAAAAATATAAAATTAAAAACTCAAAATAACTCTTAAAATAAAATTTAAAGTAAAACTCAAAATAAAATTTAAATAAAACTCAAAAAAAACTCAAAATAAAATTTAAATAAAACTCTAAATAAACTCAAAATAAAATTTAAATAAAACTCAATATAAAACTCAAAATAAAATTTAAATAAAACTCAAAATAAAACTTAAGATAAAACTCTTAAAATAAATCTTAAAATAAAACTCAAAATAAAACTCAAAATAAAATTTAAATAAAATTCAAAATAAAAATTCAAAGCATTTCAGCCTCAATTCATACAGAATTGGAATTAAAATCTTAAAGCATTTTTAGCCTCAATTTATATTGAATTGGAAATAAGAAATAAAAAAAAACCTCAAAGCTTTTTAGCCTAGAATTGGGATAAAAGAAATAAAAGAAAACTTCAAAGCTTTTTAGCCTCAATTCACTCAGAATTGGAATCAAAATATAAAGTTAAAATCCCAAAATAAAGCTGATAAGGTGATTTTTGGTGTAACAATAGTTGTTGTTGTTGTTACTGTTGTTATTGTTGTTTAAAAATTCTTTTTTGTTGTCTTTGTTTTCAAAAATAATGGCTTTTGTTATTAATGAATTTTATTTTAGAAAATAATAATTATAATAATAGTAATAAAAAGAGTATACAGTATAATAATAGAATAATTAAAGAAAAAAATAATAATAATAATAAAATAATAGTTAAAAATTATTAATAAATAATATTAAAAAAAATGTCTCAATAATTGTCTAAAATTTTCCTCAGTTAGATAGTATATATATTTAAGTTTTAGTTTTTTTGTTCTGTAAAGTTCATGGTATCTTACTGTTTTAAATAGGTAATAAGTCTTTATCCAAGATTTTTGGCCCTTTCTACTAATTTTAATAGTAGTATTTTTAGAACAAGCCAAAATCAGAGATCCAAGATGAAAAGATTAGGCAAGTGTTTTAATACAATCCTTTTGTGCTTTGGTTTCTTTGTATTTTCTATAAGTTTTATTATAGCAATTTTCCCAAGTTTTCCTAATCAATATAGAAACTAAAACTGGAAAAATTTGATCACTAAAAGTATTATTTAAATCACTTATAATTTTGTTTAAGAAAATAGGTTGATAGTTCATAGTGTAATATAAACATAAAGAGTTTTTGAGGTCCTGTCATTGTCGCCAAACTGTAATATAGTAGATTTTAGTGACAGTAAACTATATTACTTAACTTAGTGTCAAGAGGGTAAGAAATGTGAATAACATGAAATAAATACTAAAAAGAACTAAAGATAAAACTAAAAGAGCTAAAAAAAGGTAAAATAAAATATATATCAAGTGTGTGTGTATAAACAAATAGAAATAATCAAAGAAAATATAAAGAGACTAAAAACAAAAGAACAATAAAAAGACAATAATTTCACTATAAGAAGATAACAGAATATAAAACATGTATAAAGTAGTATTTTCTAAGATAATATCAGTTTATTTGATAAAAAGAAGAAAGTACAGAAGACCAAGTCTATTCCCCAAGCCTTAGATAAAAAGGCCAGGTTTTTATATCTTTTATAATCTTAATTATAGTTCATATTATCATACTTTTGTGTCAAAGAGACTTGTCAAAAAGACTTGCCAAATAGACTTGTCAAAGATACTAGCTAATGAGACTAATCAAAAGGACTAGCCAAAAAAGACTAGCCAAAGGGACTAGCCAATGAGACTTAATTACTTGTTAACTATTGGTTTAATAGGTGATTCACCAGTCATCTGAACAAAAATTTTTTTTTATATATAAATTTTACTATGAGTGTAAAAGCACAGCATTTCTATCTAAAACTTTTTTTATACTAAGTAAATCACTTTTCAGCTTCTAACAAAAGTTGTAGAGCTCATCAAAATTTATTTAATACTGAAAAGATATTAAAATTGGCCTGGTAGTTCTTGAGAAATCTTTAAAAAACTTCTTTTTTACATATAAAATTTCTTAATTTTTTTTAAAGAAATTTTATATGTGAAAAAGAAGTCTTTTAAAGATTTCTTGAGAACTACCAGGCCAATTTTAATATCCTTTCAGTATTAAATACATTTTGATGAGCTCTACAACTTTTGCTAGAAGCTGAAAAGTGATTTACTTAGTATAAAAAAAGTTTTAGATAGAGATGCTGTGCTTTCACACTCATAGTAAAATATTTATATATAAAAAAAAAATTTTTTGTCTAGATGACTGGTGAATCACCTATATATTATTTTTAAATATAAACATAAACTGTTATAGATATAGACAATATATATATTTATAGATAGATAGTCTAATTTATAAATATAGGCAGTTTATATTTATAAACATGTTATAAAACAATACTAGTTACAATATTATACTATATAAATAGTATTATTAAATAATATACTGTATAGTATATAGCAAATAACACAAATATTATTATAATTGATATTATAAAATAGTATATAATTATAGTGTTTGTTAGTTTTTAACAGTAAATATTAATTAACACATATACTATTAAAAAACTACATTATAAAACAGCATAAAATTATAGCATTTATTAGTTTTTTAACAATAAGTATTAATCTATATTATAAAATAGCATTAGTAAGTATTAATTAATACAAAATTTGTTAAACAACTAAATTATAAAACAGTGTATAATTATAGTATTTGTCAGTTTTTTAACAGTAAGTATTAATTAATGCAAAATTTGTTAAACAACTAAATTATAAAACAGTATATAATTATAGTATTTGTTAGTTTTTTAATAGTAAGTATTAGTTTATACAGTTTATTGCGTTATTTAATATAGAGTAATCATGTTAATTAACAGTATACTATTAATTAACGTGTAAATTGGCATAAACCAACACCTTCAAAACTTCCTGATGAAAGAATTGAAATATGAAAAGAAATCTTTGGAATTGTTATTATTTAAGTAGAAATTTGTAAAAAAGTAAGAATTTAAAAAAATCTTCTGATTTTTATATGATAGATGATCATCTGATAAACACAGTAATTTGAAAAGTGCAGTAAACACATCTGATTAGACAATCCATTCTCATCTTGAGATTTTTATATAAAATTGAAGTATTCAATATATATGTAAGTTTAATGATATGATAAGAAAATGAAATTGAAATGTAATTAAGGAAACATAATTCTATAATATCACAATAATATGTTAGTCTAGATATTGTTTAAATATAAAAACTATTTAAGTTTTTTAAATTTGTAATATATGCAAGTTATACTTGTTCTATCTGTATTATCAATTTATATATATATATCGCACTAGCATATGCTTATTTTTTACTTGATTTGGAACAGGCATAAAAAAATAAAACTTGTAATAATAGCTTATTCTATCAATATCGTAATAGTAAAATTATGTATGTCACTCCAGTTATACTGATATCTGAATGTAACAACATCATAGTAAACTCTTTTTATATCAAGAAAATTTCAAAATTTTAATATAAAATGTAGATATAACTTACTATATCACATTTAAATTTTTTGCTAATAAAAAAACTTGCCGATATATCCAGAGTAACGTGTATTAAAAATGGAGTGTACGAAGTGTTGGCCATATGAAGAGTATGCAAAACAAGATGACTTATAAATAAATCACGTTTGATATTAAAGGTTCTAGATTCTCTTGGTTTGGAATAAGTCCCAAACACAATTTTATATGTAAAAAATTTGAAATTTCTAGCTGTAATATAAATTATGTCAGAATGTTTAACATAATAGCAAATTAGAAGCATTTTACAAAACCTAGTAAATACTATTTAGGATTCTATCAAATCCCAAACTAGTAGGTTTGAGTTGCAACTCTAATCTTATTAGACATAAAAATTTATTAAAATGCTGCATCATAACTTGTGAATATTGATTATCTCAGTTAAAATCATAGATATTAGGCCTTTTTTCTCTATTAACAACCCAGCTTATCTCAAATTACCTGAGTAATTTGGTTAATCTAATTATAATGTATAATAATAAAATTGGTCAAATATGCTAATTCTTTTTGGATAATATAAAAATTTTAAATTTAATCACATAATAATTAAATTTATAATTCAGGTCATGCTATTTGATTTTGAATTATTGGCAAAATTTCACCATTTTAAAGGTTTTCAAAATTCTTAAAATACTAATTATACCAATTAGATTAATAAAATTAACTAACAAACAACCAATACTAGTTGAAATCAAAAATATCAGTAAAATATCAGTATTTGATATGTGTAACTTACACATAACCTAAAGCTAGTCTACATTTTATAATTTTTATAAGCTAGCTTTAATTACATATAAGTTACATATAAGTAGTGTTACAAATTGAACTAAAAAATGCAATTGATTAGTTAGTCAAAATTGATTAAAAATTAATTATAGCCAACTAATCGATTAGTCAATTAATCAATTAATTGACTAGTTGGTATATTAAAATAGCTTGGATATAATTGCATAGTATAGTTGCAAGATCTAGTTAACTAATCAATTAACTAACTAGTCAATTAATATTGGTTAATTGTCAACAATCAGTTAGTTGTCTAATAAAATTATTAATCAATTAGTTGCCAATTTGATTAATTAATCAATTAATCGATTTTTAATTTGGAACACTATATATAAGTTATATATCAAATACTTTTATTTATTAATATTTTGATTTCAACTAGTACATACTGCTAAAGCTATTTTAAAATTTTGTTATTCAGATTAACTAGTTAGCAAAATTGCTATTTGGTTAAGTATGCTTATTATCTAGGCCTAATTTTTATTAACAATATCTAATTAATCTATTTTTAAAAAAAGTTTTTAACAATAATATTTTTATATAACTCTCCCTGACAATTACCTAAACCAAATATTCTTACTAATTGTATAAGGTAGATATAGATATTATAGTGCATTACCAATTATAATACAGTGCAATATCTTATAACCCACTGATTATATTTGTATAATTTTGGTACTGATCAATTTGTCTTGGTAAGATGAATTGATTAGTAGTAAAATCTTTCAAACCCAATCACTAGATCACAAGATATTATTAATACTTACAATATATTAATAATATAATAAAAACAAAAGCCAATTTTATAGTATATATAATTAGCAATAACTTGTAACCCTATAATCAGAATTAAACAATTTTGGTACCATCTGATTCATCTTGATAAGACAAATTGAATGATATAAAAATTGTTCAATTTGGGTTAATAGAACACCAGATAATCTAAATTTATACCTAATTACCACAATTATTTTATAACATTTAAATGACAATACTTTGAGATCTAGTACTCGATAGAGATGTGGTAACATAGCGAAGTAGTAAAGTTGTTACCTCCCAAGTAACAAGATCTGGGGTTTGAATCCTACCAGTAACAAAAATTTAAAATCTACTTCTTGTATATCTTTCTAGATATATCAACTTAATCTATAGTAATATTATATACTATAACTTAGTGAATAAACTAAATTTTGGGAGTGCTAATAATAATTTTTAAATATAATATAATTTAATATACTTTAATATAATATTTTAGTTTATAAAATTTATTAATAATTTTATAAAAATAAATATGTTTAAAAAATATATTAAATCTAGTATATAAAAAATTATAAATACAGAAATTATATATTTAATAATAAAAATTTCAAAACAATTTTTAATATTATTATTATATTTTATAAGTTTTTAAAAATATACTAAAATTTACAAAAGCCTAAATCCAAACCATTAAAAAATACCTCCTTTGTTTAAACAGGTATACATATACTTATTATTATTAAAATTATTTGCATCTACGCATCTATATACCATCAGTATATCAAATGCATTTATTTTACTACGTTTAATAACCGCTTAAACATTAGGTACATATATATCATGTGTATACCTATGACGATCATGAGAAAACCGGGTTTAGCTGTACTATAAATACAGAAATACGTATTACATTTCTTTCTAAAGCAGTAAGATAACGCAAAAACAAAAAAATACGCTTAACCTTTTTTTGGAATTTATCACAACAAAATCGGAACTTCTAACTAATGCTTTCTTTTTATTGTCATTCTTAATTGGTTCTCCATGTATGCTATCTGTTCATCTTTATCCAATTCTTTTTATTTACTTACACAGGAATCAAGTGCCTCATGTGATACTCACACAAACCTAAACTTATTAAATTTCATAAAGTTTGCACGTATTTTTAAAATTATTCTGAAATCGATAAATCGAATCTTAAAAGTTCTTTCGATTTTAAATAACTGCCTTTCATAATTTGGTGCGTTAAGGTACATCGAAGATTGCGTTATTAATATAACTGTATAGCAATAATCACTCAATCAGAATTTTTACTTTATTTTAGTAATATAGTGTCGCAGTCACATGATTTTTCCAATAATATTGATTGTGCTATTAATGACGCTGGAACAAATATAATGCACTCTGCACTCCTGTTGTACGTCTGACACGCTAGATTATGCTAAGATTTTTTTTTTTTTAAAAAAAAAAACATTGTTATCGTCATACAAACATTCACATAATTTTATACAAAATTGAACAGAAATACTTAAAATAGGTTCTTTCAAGCTTATCTCAGTTGTACGTATAATTCACAGAATGCATTGTCGTTGTACTGCATACAACTTTATCCTCCGGACGTTAAATACACATATACCTACGTACGTACGTAGTATATGATTAGCAGATCACGTCAATATGCTCCTGCACATTAATATGTTTCGGCCGGCCAAAAAGTCATTTTCGGTTCATGCAAGCCCCTATTCAGGGGATATCTATATTGCAAATAACTGATTGCTTATTACGTTAGGTGCCAAGAAAAAAAAAATTTTTTTTTTTCTTACGCAGATTTTGATTTGTTTATTGAAACAGTCTCATTCCATAAGCAGTTTGGTAATTATTGCGTAATTTAATTAGGAAAAAAAAAATTTTTTTTTCATTGACTTTGTAAAACATAACGATAAGCAAATAAATATTGAATCCAGGCTTAGTCTTTCCTATTTAAGTTAGTGCACCATAACATACTGTTTTTCACGGCATTAAATCTGTTCAAAAATGCGTATCAATAGGAATCAAAAAATTTTTTTCTTTATCCTTAACACTAAATATTGATACGAATCAAGTGTTCACTATTCACTGCTAATGATATAATTACACTTTTAATTATTTGTTCACCTATATTACAACAACGAAATTCGAGATAAATAATATAGAACGAAAGCTCCATTTTAGAATTCATTTAGGTAACCAATATTTTATTGGAACGTAATACAGTAAACTAACACAATTTTGGAACACAGTAAATTCCTACAATTCCCAAAGTTAGAATGTATGCGAATTGGTTGTACACAAATCTTATATGCATACGTACTGTACATATCTGATATCTGATAACTGATAAGATAAAGTATCTTAAGTCTTTTAGGCACGTGAGTAATAAGATTCTACGTATACGTTTCTTACTAACGTTGGGGTGTTAAAATACAAGTCTAATTACTTGCATGATTTATGTAACTGAGAATAATACGTTATAGTTGGGTTTGGGTTAGGGTTAGGACGATAGAGTTTTTATTAGTAAAATTTCACAAGAGAATTTTTAATTAGGTCGCAGAAGGTGGTTTCTTAATTAAAATTTCTGGATTGCTTGCGTTACATCTAATCTTGAAGTTTGATTGGTTAAAAATCACGGGAGGGAATGGCATAGCTGCATAGTAAGCATAGTGATAATGATGATCATTATAAATAGTAAAAACTGAACCAGCAGATTTATACAAATAAAATTATATTTGTTAAACGTGCTCTTTAAGTAAAAACGCTCGTTTCTTTTTTTATTATTTGAAGTGATACCAATATTTCGGTTTTTGAGAGTTCTAATCCCGGTTAGCGTTTATCTGGAGACCTGAATTCTATTTATCCGAATAAATCAGATATAGATAAACGGATGATGGATTTATCCGGATTGGAATTTTTTGACGCATTAATAAAACTTTGAAATTTTTATGCAGATTGAAGACATCAAAAACAAGAATTTTGTTATCACCTGAGTCTTATAAAGAAAAAGGGATTATTTTAAAGAGCGCGTTAAAACGAACCCAACAAATATAATTTTTATTTTTATGGATCTGCTGGTCCAAGAGTTATTACAATTTGAATTTTATCTATTACTAACTATAGAAAAATTTGACCATCACTATATCACCTGCTCTATGGTGACTTTGCATAATTCTGGACAACTTACCGATCATTTGACCGGATTACTGGACAAATTATTGACAAAAATGAACATTTTAAAATTTGCGCTTCGACATCTCTATATAGAACTTGCCTGATGTTGTGAAAAATAGTGATTATTCTAAAATTTGCGCTTCGACATCTCTATATAGAACTTGCCTGATGTTGTGAAAAATAGTGATTATTCTAAACTCCAATATTAATTTTTAATATATTTAATTTTGTTGTAATTTTAAAAAAATAAAAAAATACTATCGTATATAATACATATATATATATAACTGTACATAAATAAAGATTTTTCTCTTATAAAATAAAACTTAAAAATATGAATAAACTATTTTCATATTATTTATATTACATATATTCCACATAACAACCGATTGTTTATCGTGATATTGTTGTTTGTTAGATTAAGTCCGTAATTCACATCATGTAATGTCTAAACTCTTTTGACCAAAAGTTCTTACACAAACTGTGTACATATTTAAAGTTTCTGTTTCTTTGATGATATTTTTTATTAATACATCATACTCTTCATCAGTATATCCCACCGTTAGTTTAATCATTACTCTTAAGGATTCTGCGGTTGCAAGTAGTAATTCTTGCCCCTTTTTAAAAAAATAAAAATAAAAATTATATAGATTTATTATAGATTTATATCGTAAAAGGAAAGACTTAATCGCACACACAAATTACCTTATTTTTTGAGATGGGATGATTGGGTGAAAGGTAAAATGGTACTTCAACCACTTTAATATTTTTAATATTTAAGGATTTTAGCTTTCTAGGAAAAGTACGCACAAGATTAGGATTGAGTCCATTAAAATGAAAACATTTGAGCACTATTTAAAAACAAAAGTGATATAAGCAAATTTAAAGAATAATAATAATAATAATAATAATAACAATAAATATAAAGTATTGTAAAATTACTTGATTCGACAAATGTTTTAGTTGCAGGCCCGGCGTTAACAATTTCACTAGGAGTTCCGAATATCTAAATAAAAAATAGTTATTTTTTTTTATTGACCTAGCATAATTGATTAATTTGGATATTTGAAACGAATTCTAACCTCTATCCAGCCTCCGGGCTTGACTACTCGAGTTATTTCAATCTAATTTTCAAATAAAAAAATAAAAATAAAAATAAATTACCAAATATAAAATGCACGATTTTTTTAAATAAATACCAGATGTGTATCAAATAGATTTCCACGGAATTTTGAAGAAGATATTGAATGCTGATAAACAAAATCAAATATCTAATATAATATATATATATATATATATATTAATAGCGTTAGAAAATATGAAATTTAAAAAATACTATGTATTTAGGGGAAAAAAACATAAGTATATTTTTTATAAAGACTTTACATTTTCAGGAAATGGTATTTCATCAAAATAATTATATTCAAGAAATGCGCAGTTTTCTGGTAAACACTCCTATATATTAAAAAAAAAAAAAAAAGATCTTTTTATTAAATGTATTAAAAATAACAAAATTCTTTTTGTTTATTAATAAATAAATTCTTTACCGGATTAAAAATGGTCGACGTATCCAAACCCAAAAATGTTGACATCGGGTATTGTTTTGACATATCTGTCAACCAAAATCCGCCACTAGTTCTATAATATTAAGATGATTTATTAAGATGATTTATTAAAGACATTTATTACATTTATTAAGGGAAAATTAAATCAAAAAAAAAAAAAATTCAAAAAATAATAAAATTTACTAACCCTATTTCAAGTACTTTTGCACCGTTTATTAATAATTTTTCAACAGGAGTCGAATAACTAGAGTCAAATAATCGTTTCATAAGTTTCATAGATTCATTAAACCGTGTAGCTTCTTTACAGTCACTTGGAAATGTGTAAGTGACATTTGTGGCAATACGAAATCTTCGACCTTCAATAAACCTATGAGCATCAATTACCGAGAACGTTAAAGTTGGTGGTTCTTTATCAAATTCTATTTGATCATTTTTTCTATCATCTTTATATGTATTTCCTTTAACAGCAACATTTTTATCATTTTTTTTACCAAAAAATTTTGATGTTGATTGACCCATTTTACTTTTTTAAAAGATTTATTAAAAGATTTATTTTTATTTTTTGTTTTTTTTTTTTTCTACAACTTTCAATTTTTATAGGTAGCCTGAAGGTTATATATTTTGATAATGCAGGTTTTATTTGTTCGCATATCTATATCTATATAGCACATATAGTTATAGCATATATAGGTTTAGCATGTGACCACTTATAGTATGTATATTAACATATATATTGAAATTTGAATTTTTTTTTAGATCTGTGAACAATCATTTTTGTTTAAAAGGAAATTTTTTTAAAAATAATAATATTTGAAGATAAAAAAAAAAAATTTTTTTATATAGTAGGATTGGCTTTAATAAAGCTTTTTTACTATAAATACGTAATATTTTATCGTTTATCGTTCCGGAGCTTTATCATATTTAGTTTCTTATACGTATTATATTATTAATATATGTTTTAGAAGTTTCTTATTTGATGTTTCAAAAATTATAACTAATCTATGTACGTACACACAAACAATTAAAGGTACAGTACATCAAATCAATTTTATTATGGATTAATTAGTGGTAGGCTTACCTATTAAATAAATTTTGTACCTTCACGGGAAATTACATAATCATACATGTATCAGGTATACTGATATATAAGAGTGTGTTACTTATCAGGTAATGTATATACTGATTATACATATGTACATATCGAATGTACAGTACATACGTATGTATGTATGTACTGTACTATAATTAAGGGATTAATTAAAACTTCCTTTCAATTCTTAATTTTATAAAATTTATATTTAAATTTAATCTTTGCATCTAATATATATCTTTGTCCAACCAGCAAAAAGATTAATTTAATAAAACCATAATTATATAGGAGTGATAAAGATACGTTAGAAATAAACTGAAATATTAATAAAAATGATTTAATCATGAAGGTCATGAAAGTATAATTCGTCATAGATGATTCACAAAATTAAACTTAAATAATACGTATCTAAAAAAGTATAATTAAAAATTCGTTAAATCCAGTAATTTGAATTGGAATTAAACTTTTAAGTTCCAATTGGAATTTATAAATCTAATGGTTCAACGGAACAAAGTTGGTCCAATTACCGGCATTGATTAAACCCAGTATGATTAAATAATCAGGGCCAAAGAATACTACTAACCACAGCAAGCTAATATGTCGGACATTTTAAGTAAAAAAAACGTTAACCTGGCTGGAATAGAGATATGAACTGTTAATTACAGCACATATAAATAACTGTAGTTTATTTTAAAACTACAGTTTTACAATAAGCCACAGTTTATTTATATTAACTAATAGTTTATAGATCGCACCTCTAGGCTGGAATGATGCTGTAAATATATGATATGACCTCTAAGAAATAAAATGTCTAAAATTATAAAAAAAAATCACTTGTTTTAATATAATGTCTAAAATTATAAAAAAAAATCACTTGTTTTTCAATTTAATAAAGTTTAATACACCATTAATGAGCTCCATTGAGTGAAGGTAATTTGATCTCGTTTGATCTGAATAAAATTTTTTTATTGAAGCATAATCATCACGTGTTACAGAGTGTTAGAGAGTTTAATGAGTTTATTAGTAAAAAAAAATTTTATTTTTTTTGATATGCGCATGTGTTGATTATCACCTACAATATTTTAAAACTCTATTGAAGTACATACTCTCCTTAAATGCATCAGATCCGAGCTTTAAAAAAAGAGCTTGTGATATACTGTAGCATTTAATTCATTTAATTGGTCTGTAAGATTAGCAATTAACAAATTAACTAATTGGTATATTATCACAGAAAGTAATACGTAGCCTTGAGAGACTACATAATCTACTGATCTATACATTTCAACAACCTGATAAATGCACGATTTTCTTAAGGAATATTTTATTTAGCTTGTTTTAGTTAGGTTAGTATTATTTTAGTCAGGTTTGAGACCGGAACTCTCTTTATAGAGATAGGTGAATTGATCTGTTTAAAATTCACGTATGTACATTGAAAGTTTTACTAGCTAGTAAATTAACTGTATATGGAAAATTTTATATTGGAAAAAATTTTTATCGATTTAAAGTTTAGCTTCACTTATATAGAAAGTCACTCACTATATAACGAGAATTAGAAAATCACTCATTATAACGAGAATTAGAAAATCACTCACTATAACGAGAATGACTTTTAGCCTAGAAATAGACATTTCTTCTGAATTTCATGTTCGGAAAAAATTAACGTTAATATTTATATGGATGAAAGAAAACTACTAACGCTAATCGTAATTTTAATCTATGATCGTCCTATCAGCTTCTGACGTTCAATGCTACGTATGCATTAAACTTTGGTATATAATTATTGCGCATAAAATGAGTTATAACAATATAAATGTATTTACTTGAATATTGTATTTCTGGAAACTGTTTAATCAGTGGTTCACCATTAAATATTATAAATATTATGATAAATATGATAAATATGATTATAAATATTATGATAAATTTAATGATTCATTTACAGCCGTTTTCAAAAAGGTGTGAATCACCATATCATAGGGGAATTCCGGAATTCCGGAGTTTCAAGACCCGCTCTAATCGGCTAATCGGAAAGTTTCCAAATCGATTCCCACATAGTATACGTATGGAAATCGTTGTTCACCCATTTTTGAAAACGCAGAATAAATATCACATGATTCAATAGAAAAAAAAAGTTTGGTAATACAGATCTCTACTTTATGCTTAACTTTTTGGGGTTATAATTAGTTATGAAACAACGTACAGTACGTACTTATTTGTGTATATAATGTTGATGGATTTTCACTATTGTAAATTCATGTATTTCCTAGATTTGTTCCCGAAGAAAGCATTTGTATTTTTCTCGTGTAATTACAACAACTTTTATTGCAACTCAAATAAATTTCATATTTAAAAATTATATTATGATAATAAAAAAAAATGGTTATTTTAGGACTGTGTGAAACATGAGTTATAAGCTATATAACGATAGTAACCCCGGTGTGTAGATCACAATTAAGATGAAATCCTCGTTTAATTATCGTTGTTTTTTTATTTTTGATATGCAGCCGAAAACTCAGGTTTCACCTTGTATTTTTTTTTTCTTTAAATAGATATATGAACAATAAAAGATTTGCCGTAAGTCACAAGGACCAATTATTATAATTAAAAGACTTATTATTAACGTTAAATAAAATTTTCAAATTAAAGATATATATAATATATTATTTATCTGTTGATCGATTTTAAACTTAAATTGCAAATTTAGCCTCTTTTAATACAAATTTGTTAACTGCTCTACACGTAATTACACAAATGACATTAATTACATTAAAGTTTTTTTCACAAATCTTGTTATTACAAATGTTTATAGTAAATAAAAATATCCATGGTATTGTCATTATTTTTTCGCACTACAGTATATTAATTGCTTACGTAAACTTTTAGAAAAAAAGTTCGTGGAATGTTTTGATCCATTGACCCATTTTGATCCCAAAATGTTCATAAATTTTTTTTTTGAGTAATTCTTTAAGTAATATTTAATTTTGCAAATTACTCGAGTTAATAGAAAAGATGACCAATAAAACGAACTTTCGTTATCTGAAAATCGGTTATCATTATCATTGTAGATTAATATAAACCAAAATTGGAAGATGACTAAAAATGAGCTGCATATAATTAACTGTTTATCAAAAAAAAAAAATCTATTGCGTCATTCACCTACTGAGAAACCACTAATCGCTACAAATAAATCAGTAATTATTTGAAAAGTATCTTTTATTTGGATTGTCTAAAGCCAAGTAAAGTATTCATCACATGAATTTATAATTTTTAATTTTTAATTAGTAATCAGCAAGAAAAAAAAGTTGTTTTATTTTATCTTATTAACATTTTACGAATGAAAATCGATTTATCGATAATTCCAAAAAAAAAGATGTCATGCATGTAAACACTGTATGTATAAGTAAATACCCGACATACATTTCATTGATCTCTATATACCATATGAATTTTACTCTCTAATAACGGTTAATAATAATTGAAGTTTTCTTTCTTTGAAAGTTCTTAAATAGAACATTCTCATTAAAGAACATGAATCACTTAGTGCAAATGCTCATTTTAACGATTTTAATGCTGCAATACTGTTACAATATATACTGTAATACTTTAACTTATGCATGTAATACTTTTTTAAGCTCGATATGGAGTTACTGATACACTTGTACGTACGTAAAATTTCTGCAGAGTTAAAAAAAAACAATGAATTTATTATATATAGTATATATAGTATACATATCATTTGACTTTTGCATAATATATAGTTATTGGATGCGAAGCAGCCAATAACTCGAATTATTTGTAAAATAATTCATTAGGAGTTATTGGC